ATCTGCATATTACCAGACACGCGCGAGCGTGACCTGAAAATGATTGTTACATCAAAGTAATTGTTCGTGTGCATATGTCCTCGTGTACATAATTCCGAGTTTTTAATACAAATAAATGCTATATTGCAGTCATTGATGTCCCTTTCCTATTCCGTGTCTCCGCTTACGTAGCAACCGACCTATTTCCCATTATTGTGCTTTGTGTGTGGTCCCACTATTTCTGCTTTTGTTACTTATAGAGATCACTACGCCATTGATTCCTCATATGGACGTTTTTTTACACAACAATTCAAGGGCATAGACTAATTCGACTAAGATAATCAGCATCACCTCTCATAAAAATGCTTCGAGTGTTTAAACTGATTTTGATGGCACATTGCAAAACAAGCTCTTCGAGTTACTCAATTCCAAATACCTCCGACTCAATATGCTTACGTTTCTTTTATTTGTAATATCATAAACCAGATTGTTTCTAAATCCATCCCTTCGTATTTGACGCATTTTTTCCACCACCCTTTTAAAACGCATAAGGAGACATCACTTTTAAAGAAACATAATCGTTTACAGACATGACAAGGTGAGTGTTTGTTTCATTCCGTCAGTGATTCGGAATGATTTTGCTACTTGGTCGCCAAACCTAGAGTAGAAGAGATCTGGTTCTGATTCGCTGACAAAAAATGTCTGGCTCGTAAGATACGGTTTCGAGTTCGTGAATCAGTGTTTTTTATCCCAAGTAGCCAGGAATTGCTTGCAACTATTGTTTTCTGGGAGGATGTTTTATTCCGACCGAATCTATATATCAATGAATATTTATCATTCCATTTCAACCTCGTGAATTTTTCATCCATTTAACTCTCCTTCGCACCCGCACTCGTCTCTAACAGACTGCGCCTTTTGCTAGATATTCGGGAAGAAGATAAATCAAACGATCAAGATTGGAAATCCGTGCCCAAAGAGAAATCCGAAGTGTTTAAATTACGCGCGAAAACTGACAAACGTCTGGCAGTCGGCTTTCATCAGACCAGCGGATTAGCTCAAATAGCAATCGAACAGTGAGTTTTCGATCATCCTTGTTGGAATTTTCCTCTCTAAGCTCTACTAACATGTTGTGCCTCCTGATCATCGTTCATTACGTTTTATTGGTCGTGTATTTTATGTTTTCGCGGTTAATGATATGAAAAAAATAAAATTATTTGTCCGACGCTACCGAGTTTTCGGCTAGAACAAGTCACTGTCAGTAGGTTGTGCTTTGTGTTGTGACAATACTATTGCTGCAGGTTTTTATTTCTTCTAGCGCTTATTCTAAGTTGGACAAGTTTTAGATTGACCGGATTACCTCATTGGAAGCCAAGACAATAAAACTATATCCGAAGTTACGAGTTAAAGAAAAGTATAATCTGGATTGACGAGCGTCACTGCACTCAGATGAAGTAGTTCCGTAACCATAACCTCAATTGTATTTGTTCACATGCAATGATTGAATAACATTAATTTTAAACGAGAAGCAGTGCCAACTAACCATACGATCGGTTTAGCAGAGATCTGCCTGCATAGTAAAAAAAACAATACTAGTAGCGTGCAAAGCATTCTAACTGATGAAGGAACTATTCGGAGATAGTTCACTCCTCCTCAATAGCGTTTATTCATCGTTATGGATGATCTGCAGTGTATTGGTGTATAAACAAATCCAAATTGAGGCATTCAACTGTGGCAGATGATTTACTGATTACTGGAATTCAGTTAGACGCCAGCTCATCCAAAGCCTGAGGAACGACCGCGATGACTGGGGGATAACAAGCTACAAAGAGGTGGGTAAGGCTGCGTCTGTCCGTATAGTAGCAACTTTTGCCATCTAATTAGGACTACGGGCTCAATGAAAGTAGACGTGAGTGAGGCAGTTAGGGAGTGCTACGCGAATTCATATTCGGAAACGCGGTCGTGAATGATGAGTAGAACATTTTAAGGTACAGTTCAGCTGACCCCCATCGACACTAGACCTCCTAGTTCCTCCTTCAACTTTGGAGGTTACCATGGAAATAAGTCATCTCAAAAGGTAACAGTTTCTCGTCCTAGATGGACTATTCTTATCAGTTGGCGGGAGGTCCAGTCTTGGACTTGGATTTGACAAAACCCCCGGGGTCAGGATAGAAAAAGAGAATAGGTTCCAATTGAGTCGGTCATCTTACCGATACACAATAAGGCGATAGGTCCTGTCATAAAAACCATTAAGCAATTAGCTTGATCGATATTCTCTCTAAAATTATCACTGTCATCATACTCTTTCAATCGTTTGCCGAACGTGAAGAGTACACGCGGGTAAACCAGGCTGGTTTCAGACCTGGTTGTAGTTGAGTCGACCACATTTTCACTCTTCATCTGATTCTAGAACAGTAACATGCGTTTACTTTGACCAGTATTTCTTTCTTCCTCAATTTGTAAGCGGCTTTCGACTCAGTCAACCACTCTAGGCTCTGTAACTCCTCCTCTTTGAAGCGTGTGCCCTTCATACTAGTGTCGTGAGGCACTACTCAAAAAATGTGAGTAGCATGCGAAATAGTTGATGGTTTCTTTCAACGATCAAAAATTAAGAAGACCATCGAGGGCTAAGAGCTGTGTCTCAAGGAATAACTACGGACTGTTCTATGCATTACTCGGTGTTCCGCCAGGAACTGCGAAGAATTGTTTCAAATGAGATTTCTGTTATATATATGCTAAATTAATGATACCCCAAATGTTATCTGCAATAAACAACTTCCCTCGACCGAGCACCTCGTTGTGAAACCAAAGCAACTGGTATCGTGACCAGGATCAGAATGGCGGTTCCATAGCCTGAAGCCTTTGAGGATGGAGACGCGCGGATGTTCCTGGAGTAGTTTGAGGACGTCGCAGAACTGGCGGGGATACGGTCCTATCGGGGAAAGTTGACGTCCCTCCGAGTACATCCCAAGGGCCGGGCGCGGGCGATATTGGACGCGGTGCGAAGAGGCCCGGAGAAGGCCGAGTGGGCTGCCGCGAAGACAGTTCTGATCTCGGGTTTCGACACTTCGGTCGACCGCCAGAAGGCGTTGCGGAGCTTCCAGACGGCGCAGCTTGGGGTTGGTCGGACCCCTGTCGCACGCTGTGGCCCTGCGCACCCTGTTCGATCGAGCGCTGCCAACTTTGAACGACGCTGCTCGCTCGGAATTATTACTGGAGCGCTTTGTGGAGAGTCTACGGGATAATCTACTAGAAAATGTGCCAATTGTTCAAGCGGGGCGTGCCATGGATGTGTCCACGCTGGCTGAAGTCGTAACGGATCATGAAGTTTCAGCTCTCCAGAAACATGTAGTCCCAAGAAGATATCCGTCAGAGGATGCTACGGGAGCCCTGAGAAGCTGACGGAAGAAGTGGCGGCACTGAAGTCACTGCGGAGTAAGAAAGAACGGGAATGTGTGCTTTCAATGTGGCAAGCTGGGCCACCGGCGGGGGAATTGCTTAGAAGGAAGGTGGTAGTCGCTCGGTGGTTTAGTCGCTGTTACCGGCGTGCTTTGGACCATATGGTCCGAGGTTCGAGCCCCACCACCGCCACCCGACTTTGGTGGTAGACAGCTCTGCTGTCGTCGGGTTCAATACCATGCCTATGTGGTTCGCCACTCCAAGTCCCTGGTCTAAGGTTGCTGGTTTCCACCACTGAACAGCAGTTCCTCGTGACTATGGGGTTCGCCCCGTCTGCTGTTCATCACACTAGAAGTGTTTCATAAAAATACGTTCTCTCGACAAGCGGTTTACGCAAAACACGCCCGTCTTCCCAAACAAGGCTATCATAGGAGCAGTAAATCGCGGTGCAATCTAGGCCCAGTTGGAGAGAGGGGGTCGGAAAGAGCTATGTTTGATCGAAATGGGTGCGGCAATGTCTTTGGCGAGACCACTAGCAAATGAGACCATGGAAACATGGAACACAGCTTGGAAAACAGACGTTGGTTACCAGTTGAAGTTAGACGGGGCAGTCAAACAGGCAGTCCGCGTTAGAAACAAGGTAGTCAAGCATCCACTTGTCATATCAAAAGACACGAGACAGGCCACAGTGGAAGCAGATATCTTATGCAGTTTAAGGACCGTGGTTGATCTGAACAACAAACGGTTTGTCACCAAATTCGGCACAATCCCGCTGTTAGGCTCTAAAAGGAAGAGGTTGTCAGCCGTGAGTACAGAAAGAACTCACACGAATGTGTCGCCGTCATTTCGATACTCCCATCTTGTCACAGGCGATGATGACCCATACAGGTTCTGTAACTGGGTCGAACACAAAATTCCAATAAAGGCAGGAAAATTTGGAGCCTATGTTTCACGCCGGATTCCACTTCATTTGGAGGACGAAATCAGTCTGTTGGTTGAACAAATGTTGGAGGAAGGAATCATTAAAGAAACTTGAAGTCCGTATAACTCGCCCGTGCTGCTCGTCAAAAATCACAACGCCAAATTTCGGTTCTCTGTGGATTCTGCCAAGTAAACTGTGTCCATAAACCAACCAGCCCCAGTGCCGATTGGGGCAGAAAATTTTGACCAACTACAAATCGCAAAACTGTTCTCAGCAATAAACAACTTCCCTCAACCGAGCACCGCGTTGTGGAACTATAACAGCAGTAGTCCAAGCCGAGTTCGAACTGACGGTATATTTCACCGGAGTTCACTAAAGAAAGTGGCGTTCTTCAGCATTGCCTCTTTTGTTTTCTATTGAACTAAGTTCCATATTTGATTCTTGAAACAGCCCTGTCCTTGCGCGGGTCTGCGGCATCGACTTGCGCCCAAGAGGCATGTTATCTTATCTGGAGTATGCAAACAAAATGGTACTGCTAAGTGAAGATCGAGGTTAGTTGCAAGCGTTTCTGGATAATTTGACTGCTACGGTAGCTGTTTTTGGCATACGTTTCTCATCTTTAAGGTGTAAAATGTTGCTACGGGACTGGGTCGGTTCAGCTCCCAACCTCACTCTGACTTTTGAAGTATTAGAGGAAGTAGACAAAGGTTGCTACTTGAGCAGCTACATCTCAACCGGCGGACGTATCACGGGTGAAATGTCAGCACGCATACAGAAGGATTATTTGGCATTTACTAACTTGCGATATTTGTGGCGCCGTCGCGATATTCCTCCATAAGTGAGGGATTGAGTGTTTGCTGCAGCAGTTCGGCTAGTTGTGCAATGCGGCGCAGATACTCAGCCAATACAAGAGCAGGACAAAGCTTTCTGCGCCGCACTGCACGAGTCTGGTGGGGCCATTACGATGTTCGGCACATCGTTTTAAGTAGTCGCATTCACCCAATCGGGCAAGTCGTTGATTTCCACAGATAAGCGCTGGTTGGGTCGTGTTACGCATGCTATCAAGTAGATTACCACGGTGCGCTAGGTTTACGTAGGCAGTTCATGGCGTTGGGCTTTTTCAATGGGAGCATCTGGATCAACATTGTTGATTGTTAGCTACACTGATTGATATGGGTAAGTGTTGCATACAGTGGTTCTCGTACATCTAGTTAATGTCCTTGCAACCTTAGTCTGTATGAATTTTCTGTCTTCTCCTTGACTGTGCTCTTGACATTCCAAAATTCCTTCTACTGTTTTATTTCAATGGGCAACCTAAAGACAGCAACCGACACCGGCACCAAAGTGCGTGTTTAGTGGCTGTAAAATATGAATTGAACTTAACTGCAATTCAGTCTGCCATCATTAGTTCAGCCTTTACAATGACAGCATAATCACGAACTCCACAGATTCCGTCATTATGCCCACAGCGAAAAAAAACGTAGACACAGTAGTATGATTGGGAAGCTGGGGCATCATAGATCCAATAAAGGAATTTGATCTAAGCACTTGTATGAAAACCTTTTTAATCCGGCTTATACATCGATTCTTTGTATCTCTTCACACCTCATCAAATGAGCTTAATGTAAACGTTAAAGTATTTTATTGTGTTATGCCCCTCGTTAAGGCGGACGTTTACCCACCAACAAAGTACAAAACCTCATTCCACGTCAAATAAAGAATTTCATTCTTTTTTACACATCCCTCTTTTTCGCTCGGATTCAATTTAGTTAGTCTTTCGCCAATATCAACGGAAACAGGGGTTCTGTCAGTGCCTCCTTGTCAGTGACGTTACCGAAATCGTTGTTATCTAACCATCGACCTATTGTTTGGTTCTTTATTACAAGTTTTATCTGTCCTCATCCATTCACTATGTACCTGACTTCGGCCTCCGGCTAGTGGCCGTTGTCACTCCTTTTAGTCTGATGAACAATCAAATAGATTAACTAAACGACCTGGAAAACCCAAGTTTGGTTATGTAAACCAACAAATTTAGGTCGATCATACGACACAGTGTCCCTATGAAATATGCATGATATTCGACTGCGGCCTCCATAAATTTAGTCTTCCGAAAGACTGTGACGATAAGATGCTCTTTGAGGTGCTTGCCTTTCATTTGATTAGTTGATGTACTGCGGACTGTTCATCGTTCCTCCTTTCTCCGACTTCTACCCTGGTTTTGATTCCTTCAGTTTTCCAATCTTATCCTTTCCGACGTTCTATATTATTTCATGTACTGATTAAATAGTATTTTTTTCTGTCCTTTAATTGTAGATGTTTGGAGGTATCCCTCGCGTATGGCCGTTATATCAGTGATACAGAATTCACCTCACTGGGTCCCGGCTGCAGCACTTCACGGGAGATGTTAGTCCGGCATTTCTCACTGGTTCCAGTTATTCAACCTTTGTACATTGGCCCAGCAATAATTCAGAGTTTTCCATGTTTGACGATGTGACCAGCAAAGGTGAGTATTTAGGGGTTGAATAGAACTTTATGTTGCACAACTCATGACGCAACAAACTGTCAGGGGTATTCAGACCCACATCTACGAGGATTTGTGATTATCTTGGATACCAACTCATGCAATATTACATCAGTCAGCTGAGATTAAATTCAAAAATACCAAATCGAATTTCCCAATGGCTTTAAATCACACAGACAAAATACCACGAAAGTGTGAAACGGACTGTCTCAAATACTATCATACACTCGGAGCAGGGGGGGGGGGGGCAGAGCGGCAAAGTAACGCCATTCTAAAAGATCACAGTCAATCTACATCGTTTGGGACTTGGGTGGGTGCTAAATGGGTTAAGTCCAAATACAACATGCAAGGACGTAACGTAACTTGTGTGAAAGACTGGTTCACTCAATCGCAATGCAACGCAATGCACTCTGTAATAACTGGGATGAGAACAACGCACTGATGGTAGGAAAAAATAAGGCGTGCATTTTGAGGTCGTTCACAATTGAAAGGTGATTGTCAAGTTTTCGAAAAACAGGATGTTAAAGAAACCCCTAAAGTGGTGATGGTGCGGTAATTTAGTTGCGGTCACCCGGCGTGCTTTGGACCCTGTCGTCCGGGGGCAAGCCCTACCACCGCCACCAACTTTGGTTGTAGACAGCTTTGCTGTTGTCTCGTTCAAAAAATCACGCCTAACGTAGCGTGTATGGCTCCCCATTCCAAGCCCTCGGGCTTAGGTTGCCGGTTTCGTCACGGAATATCAAGTCTACGCGACTATGGGGTTCATTCCATTCGCTGTTCACCGCACAAAATGTAAGTAATAAAGAAATAACTCTAGTCTGTCCTTGTACCTGATCATCCTTGTAGTGTATGACTTTATAAATAATTTGTCTCAGATGTTGCTATATTTCGGCTCCCATAGGCTCTTCGTTTCGGTGTTCCGGCATTGTACTCTGCCAGACGCCCGAAATTGAGTTGGACGAACGGTCGTGTTGTTCACGTATGAGGTTCCTTATCCCAGCATTTGAAAAGAAGCCCTCTTATAATTGTTTTGCCTAACATCCGAGTTCATTTGCAAACTACTCACATAATTGGTACGGCAAGTGATTTCTCCCTCTACTCATTTCACTCTGGTAAAATCTGTTTCATGCTCGACACATTTCGCTGTACACTTTAATTTATCGTTCAGGACATCTTTTCTATACATATGTCATGTGCTGTTCATCAAAAATCACGTTTGGACTACGTCAGTTTTCTTACTCGGGGCATTGTCACCACACTCAATATGCAGCTCGCATTGCATGCTTTTGCTAAACACTATCCTCGTCCTATGATGTCTATTTTGTATGTTGCACGGCGATGCGGTTTTCTCGGATGCAGTTTACTAAACCCAGTGTGATTGACTAACGGTTTAGGTCTTCTTCGGTAACCAGGTTGACGCTATTCATTTGTTTGTACGTAAAAGTTGATGCTACCGTTTCATCTTGGATCCATTGTCCTTTCATGTTATTGTTTGTATTCTACGTAATTCCAACCCGTAATACTCAATAAAACGATCTCAGTTCCATTGTGCCAAGCACTATCTGTGAATTCTAATTTACCATCTATTTTTCCACGGTTTCTTGGAGGGCGCCAGTTCAAAACACGATATCTCAAAGATGATCGGACACACTAAATACGGCAGTATTAATCATGCAAAATGAAACTCGTTTGACAATATTTGGTTGTTCAAACGGATCAGCTGAATCCTTTCCCCTCAATCGTGAAGTGGAAATTTATTTGCAGCATTGGAGATGTTTTTTTGGTTGCCACGTGGTATGTGTGTACGTGAACAAAGAGTTAAACCGTACTTGATTGAACCAATTGACACGTAAGATTGTGATATTTTCTAAAAACGTTTTGCGAAACTGTTTGAGGTCACCTCACATGTGATTGGTTATTTACCTACTTCTTGTCCCATTCTCTTCTCTACATTGGCATCAATGGCAAAATGCAGACGAATGCATATTTTTCACCGTGCGAGTACGCCTAGCTTTGCTGAATGTAGAAAAACCAATAACCGTGCAACGTGTCTGCCGGGCACGTGTCTATCGACCGGATGAATCGTTTTGGCTTGTCACTGATCGTCGTCCAGTTAACCAGGATTACACAATTCATATGTCCGAGGTAACTACGATGTGTACCTGTTTGGTTGTTTCTCAGTTTCGTTTCTCGTCCTATACAAACTCATCTATAGTTTTACGCTGAGTTTGGATTGGTTGTACACAACACGTATGCGTAGATTTTTGCTGATTCTGTTTAAATGGTGTTCACCGGTGAGAACCTTTTTCGTCGCTTGGTGTATCCATCTAGGTGCTTTCGAATGCCCTTCTCCATAGATCTCCTCAGCACATCAGCACTGTGGCTTGCTGTACGCGTTACTGCAACTGGTTTCCTCTCAAACCTAAAACAAGTTCTAAATTCCTTGAAATTTTCGATTATTTTTCTTTGTCTCGTTGTTGCGAGGACTGCTGGAATCCAGTGACAGGTGTTCTCCATTGTTGGGTTCTCGTATCAGACGTAGCGTTCATGATAATTTCAATCACGAGTAAATTTATTCAGTGCCCCATTCACATCTGCCTCCACGGCTGCCTATGGTGGCTGCGACTCGATGTTGCAGTCCCCGTTTTGTGTTGGGATTCATCAATCCTTCCCGGGACCTCTCAGGGTGAGGATTCTTAATCGATCAGTGTCCGTAAATCGTAAAAAGTAAATCAACTTTGCTTGTCATTGATCCACTTTCGAGGCCGCTAATTGAAGCTATAGGTTCCACCGTGAAACAAATCCCAAAAGTCATTACACATAAGGAATTTCCGCGTTGTAAAGCTATTGCCTCTTTCAATCATTAGATTTACCTTTTTTGATGTATTTTATTGGCATACATGTGATAGTCGTCGTAGGGATTTAGTTTTTCCGGATCCGAAAGGTCAGTGGAATTCGATTAGGGTCTCTATGCTGTTTCGCTTACTTTTATGGTTTGCTCATGTAGTAGAATCAACCTTATTAGTTTGAAAGCTTCCATTATCCATAACACTCGTATAACCAACTACCTGAACTAGTTGATACCTTATCGGAAACAGTCATTTTCTCTCATCCAACCTTGATTTTGCTGTTTCTCTGTACATTTCTAGTTTGTTGACGATGAGGGTACACTCTACATTGGTCGTTTTATCGAAGCACTCAAGGTTGTCCCGACTCCCTCACCTACAACCACCCAACAGCCGGCTACGGTCGTGCAGCTTTCTGCTGGTTTAACAACTGGTGAGTCCTCGGTGAATTTTTCACTCTCCCCTTCCCACTTCTCAGGATACTTTATTACAGAATCATTGAAGTTTATCTCCTGCTTTGATACGCTGCTCACCAGGGTAGACGTTTCGTGTTCCTTGTGGTGTTATCCGTTCTGCTCAGACGCACAGGCAGAAGAGAGGCGAGACGAGCGTTAAGGGACAGTATGTTTTTTGTTGCAATGTTTCCAACGTTTCATGCGTGTATACATGATGCAACACACCGTGTGTCCAGAGGTGTATCATCTTTACTCTTGACTGTAACTAATCCTCGGGAACATACTCAGAACTTCGCGGTTCATACAACCTGACTACATTTATTATGCAAGGTCTTACTCTCACCGCGTTTCACTTCTGACTGGCTCTTCAAATTTTGATTACTGCCATTTCGAAAGTGCATGTCCAAGTTACCTGCTGTTTGATGCGAAATGCTGTCCTTACATTGAACATCATCAAATCGAAAGTTTCCATCACCTGTCGTAAAGTGTCTACTTCAGATCAGGTTCGAAAAATGTAAGCCTTCTGCTCGTGATAACAACGTGGTGATACCTAGTTAAGCATCAACAAAATGCGTAAATCCTGTGCTTTGTTCATTTCCTTCAGGTTCGTAAAAACAATCCACCATAAGTACTAAGTTCAGAAATTCAGAAGAAACAGTTTTGGGTTTCAGTTTTTACAACCAGTAGCCGTACACTTTCGTGCGCCGCTTTTGGTTACTGTCTTATGGCTGCCCTTTTGGACGAAGGAGCTAAATGATAATTGGAATGTTGAGAGCAGGGTCAAAGAGGAGTTAGAGAATCCATATAAAAGGGTCGAAACAATACTGAGCAAATGCTTTTCTCGGTGTGGGCCACCGCGAGGTATGTCCTGCCCTAAAGTCTTAGGCACCCATTTGGGCAACCGTCATTCCCATCTGTGTAGTTCTTCTCAATCCCGAATAATCCCAGATGTCTCCCGTTTACGCCACCGATCGAACATCAATCAGCGTTTCACCATCAACGCCAGACAATCAGAAGTTACGGGGCCTTTGAAGCCAAAATTTCCTTTTCACTTAGCCGCGTTCAATGTGCGCACGCTATCAGATTGGTCTGCAAGCTGCCTTGGTTAGAACCTTTGAAACCGTCTATTTAAATGTATGCTGTCACTAAAACACACATACAAGGCCCTACTTCAAACATTTCCCTGCGTTCTCGTAACTCAACCTCGACCTCACGCTTCACCCTCCGTGTGTCAGGCGATTCCGTGTCCGAACCTTGCGGTGTTGGGATTGCGCTAAGTGCCAAGGCTGAGCGCTCGCTTCTTGACTGGATTCCAGCCAATAGCCGACTGTGCGCTGTACGTCTCAACGGTTCAGTTCAAGACAACAGCTACGGAACGAAACGTCTATGCTTATTCGTCGTGTCTGTGTATGCACCGACCGATCGCAGTATACCTGAAATCAAGGATGAATTCTACAAGGATCCTTCGCAACTACTCCAAAGTGCTCGATCAACGGACGTCGTAGTAGTCACCCGAGACTTCATTGCTCAAGTGGGATCCCTGGACGAATCAGAAAGGCTTCTTGGCGGACCACATGCAATCCCAGCCAACCCGACGGACAACGGAGATCGCCTACTTAAACTCTGCGCAGACCACGGATTGTTCCTGTCAAACACGAACTTCTCGCACAAGAAACGCCATCGACTTACATGGAAAGCCCCAACCTCTTCAGAACTCTGGACGCAGATCGACCACATCGCCATCAGTTACCGCTGGAGGGGATCAATTCAAGACTGCCGCTCTTACTGGTCAACAGCTGTGGATACAGACCACGCCTTATTACGAGCCAAGTTCTCCTTACGCCTGGCAAACAACCGCAAAAAAGCCACCGACAACGGATATCCGCGATACAGTGTCAGCGATTCATGCAAATCGGCCTTCGAAGCGGAGCTCTCAGATCGCCTGTCAGTTCAACCGCCAGCCGAAGGACTCAATGAACACTGGAAGCAAATCAAGGATGCTATGCACATATCGATAAAAACAACGTCGGACCCTGCCTCACGCTCAAAACACAAACGCTGGGTGTCATCGACCTCAGTTGCCCTGCTGGACGTCGCAGAACCCTTCCTCCCGATGCCACATACGACAGCGCGCAAATCCCTGAAACACCAGTTCTTCATAAGTCTGAGGAATGACCGCGAGAAGTGGTGGGTAGTAAAAAGTGTAAAGAGATGGAGAAAGCTGCGGCTATTGGTAATAGTCGTAACCTTTTCCATCTAATTAGGAATACGGGCCCTAGGAAAATAGGCGTGAGGTAATTAAGGAATGCAATGGCACACTGATTCACGATCAGCAACATCGTCTTGATCGTTGGGCTGAGGACTTAGAGGCTAAGTTAAACTGGCCCCCATCGACATCTTATTTTTTACTCTCCGCCTCGACTGGACAAATACTCCCAGTTGATGCTAGTCTTCCATCTGAACTGGAGGTTTCTCGGGAAATAAGGTATCTCAAAAACCATAAGTCGTCCGGCCCAGGTGGGCTGTTCCCATCAGCGTTTAAGGATGAAGGCTCAGCGTTGGTCTTGGAGTTGACAAAACTCCTGGGTTCCATATGAGAAAGCGAAGAGGTTCCAGCTGAATGGTGTGAATAGGTGATCATGCCGATTTACAAGAAAAGCGACAGATCCTCTTCTGAAAACCACAGAGGCATTAGTTTAATCAACCTGGTCTCTAAACTGCTCGCTGGTATCGTACTCCGCGGATTGTCTGTCGCACGTGAACGGTGCACGCGTGAGAACCAGGCTGGTTTTAGGCCCGGTCGAGGTTATTTCGACCACATCTTCACTCTGCGCCAAACTCCTGAGCACCGGCATTCTTCACGTAGACCCACCATCGCTGTCCTTCTCGATCTGAAAGCGGCTTTACACTCAGTCGCCCGCGCTAAACTGTGGCGCTGCCTTTTCCTGAAATGTGTGCCCGAGAAGTTAATTTCAATATTACGATGCTTTATACTAATAGCCGAAGTCGAGTCCGGGCTTACGGTACTTTTTCACCACGGAAAGTGGTGTTCGTAATGGTTGCCGTCTTTCTCCTTTTCTACTGAACTTTGTTATAGATTTTATTATGGAAACAGCCCTATCCTCCTGCGACGATACCGGTATCGAGTTACTCCCAGGAGGCAGGCTGTCTGATCAATAGTATGCAGACAACATTGTGCTGCTAAGTGAAGATCCAGGTAAGTTGCAAGCATTTCTGGATAACTTGAATGCCACTGTAGCCATATTCGGTATGCGTTTTGCACCTTCAAAGTGTAAAATGCTACTACAAGACTGGGTTGATCCAGCACCCAGTCTCACTCTCACTGGAGTGAGAGTAATAGAGTAGGTGGATAAGTCTTGTTTTCTGGGCAGCTATATCTCACCCGGTGGACGCATCACGGATGAATTATCTGCTCGCATACAGAAGGCTCGGTTGGCATTTGCCAACTTGAGACATCTGTGGCGCCTTCGTGACATCCGGCCGTCTGTGAAGGGTCGGGTTTATGCTGCAGTAGTTCGGCCAGTTCTGCTATATAGAGCAGAAACTTGGCCATTAAGAAAACAGGATAAAGACAGACTGTCGGTGTCTAAACACCGCTGTCTACGCAGCATTGCACGAATCTGGTGGGGTAGCCGGATAAGCAATGCTGAGGTTAGGGGCAGAGTTTTGGGTATCCGCGATGGCCGACCTCCGTAGATTACGTTGGTTGGGGCATGTTTTACGCATGTCACCAGATAGGTTACTACGGCGAGCGATGTTTGCCAAAGCAGCTAACGAGTGGGAAAAAATCACAGGTGGTCCACCCAAAATCTGGCGCGAGAGTATGAAAACCCTAATCTGGAGACTGGGTCACATAATCCCCGTTAGGCTCCTTGGCTGGGGACCTCGGGATGATCAGAACCGATGGTTAGCTACACTGAGTGATATGGCTGGGTGTCGTAAACAGTCGAACAGCCGGTTACCAACTCGTCCTTATAACTGTGTATATTTTTAACGGAGTCTGATCGAGTGGTCATCGGACTTTATCCTGTACAACTTACTGCGAATAGGTTTTGATTTGTTTTTTAGTGAATTTTTGCTTGCTGGGAGGTTAGCTGTAAGGAAGGGCATCCGCCATTCGTGGATTGTTTTAGACTGCTGTTACTTTAGTTTTATTTCACGGTTTATCTACGTTATCCGTTTGAAATATATGACACAGTGTCCCCCTTCTTTTTGTCTATCACACCGATTTAGATTCGCATTTCATTAGCCATTAGGATGCTGTGTTGTTCATCGTTCCATACCCGTGATTCATGCATATTTCCGCCGGTTCACAGCGCAGATCGTATTACTTTGATAATGCATTAATTAAGTGTATTGGACAGAGAGAAGTCCTCCATCCGTTTCCTAATCTCCGTTTCAAATGCCGTAAGCATTCCTCGTTGTCTTGGATGTGATCGGATTTCTGTTGAGTATCAACTGCCTATTCTTGCGGTCCAGTTATGACTTTTCTTGATCGATTTTTTCGTATTGCCCGGGAGCTTACGGGCTTTCCAAGCCTCCTTTCAATGTATGTATCAGGATTACTATTGTTCGTATCCGTTTATTCCCATATTCTGCCCTTAATCTCACCACTCAGATATCCCAGCAGACGAG